GAATATATTAATATTGTACCTACTCTAATGGATTACATACTGTAAGGGCCGATTTACATTATCTTAGTGTTTAGCAGAGTGCTTTAGGATAGTATTTTAGTTGAAACATGTAAACGCTACTTGCTTTAGTACGGTTCTACTTGACTTTCAAGTTGAATCAAAATAAAATCGCTTTTTATTTTTGTTTCAAGTGATACCCCTCCCGCGCCCGCGCAACCCCCGAGGTCTTTCCTCGTTGTGTGTAAACACGTAATTTAGTAAAATCTTTAGGAGAGTGCACAAGTGCCGTAAAACGCGTGTTTTTTGATTTTTAAAGATGGCTAAATGGTCGGAAGATACAACTATCAAATTTGTGTCTGAATATGTTGTTCACGAATGTTTGTGGAATGTTAAAAACAATTTATACAAAAGCAAACAGGCTAGGCATTCGGCATACACTGCCTTAAAAGAAGCTATTTTATTTATTATTTATATTTAGTTTATTTATTTTGAATAAAATCTCGACTTCTATTTGTTCCATAACTACAGTTAGTATTTTGCGTAGAATAGAGCGTATTTGCCGACGTCGTTGCGCGTTCATTGTGGCGCTGTAATGATACTCTACTGGAAGAAATGTAAACGTTCACTGGCAAAGCACTAAAGAACTTGCCTTTCAAGTTGTACTAAAATACTCTTCTAAACACTAAGGGTGAGATCTATAGTGCGCACTTGGACTTTGCTCAGACTTACCTTACGAAAAACTTTGCTTAGTGTACACTAAGGTTAAACTATGATTTCGTATTTATAGACATTTTAACGGTGAGATTAAGCTAAGCCCAAGCTAAGACAGAAAATGTCAAAATACAAATTGATGTTTCATTTCATGCAATACTTTGTTTATTATCCTTTAAAAAAGTTAACGATAACAAATATTTAAAAATCTAAAACGGTACACATATATCTTCAATTTATTGTTATTTATGTATTCATTTATTTTATTATTGCAATAACTAGAAATTCACGAGTAACCTTTAGAAAATGTATTAATTATTTAAAGATGACAATAATTTTATTACGTAGAACGGATTGCAATGTTTTGACAACAGCAACAGAGCACTTGTATCAACTATCAACAATTGAAAATTTTAAACCACTTTAATTTATTAAATTGATCTTTCTTTCGTTTTGTGATTTGGCTTTGTTACATGGACCGAGAGAGAGAGTTCTATCTTCAATAGAAAACATTGAAAGGGTAGGAACTGCAGCCGATATGAATCCACGAATGCCTAAAGTGTTGTATATGTTCGGAACTAATAAAACCAAAATCCTTCCATCCTGTACGGTGAGAATGAATTCAAAAGAAGGAACCGTATTTTGAAACACACGGTATTACATGTGATCCTGACGCTGATCATTACAAACTTGCAACCTTATAACAACAGAGGATCGCCAAACCTACCGCAATTGCAAATACTTATTGCATTAAGGCATAAAAATGCAACTGGATGTTTTCAGGTAATATTGTGTTCATAAATATGTATGGTTTTTCAATTTGATATATTATACCTCTTCTCAAATGATTTTAAATAGTACATATGTTGAAGACTTTTGTCTTCTGACTTTCAAACATAACATATATGTGACTAATAATACTTTATTGACATTACAGATGGTGTGTGGTGATCTGAACAGTAGAACAGTGAAAAGTCTCTGCAGAGTTGAGTAAATTACTTCCTAGATTTGTAAATTTTCCAAGAAATATGAACACAGCCAAAACAAAGTTTGAAGAATTAGGAAGATCTAATACTCCCCATGGCCTAAACAGTATAATCGGAGCTATTGACTGCACCCATATAAAAATTAATAGACCCAAAGGTATCGCTCACTCTGAAGCATACAGAAATAAAAAAGGGTATTTTTCTGTAAATGTGCAAGCAATAATAGGGCCTGATATGGAAATATTTGCTATAGTGACTAGGTGGCCTGGCAGTTCACACGACAGCAGGATATTTAGAAAATGTCTGTTTTAGTAGGTGACAACGGTTATCCAGCACTTAACTTCATGTTAACAACACTTTTAAATCCAATGACAAGAGCTGACAATATTTATAATTATTCTCAAATAAGAACTAGGCATATTTTTTAAAGGTTTTTCGGAGTGTGAAAAAGGAAATTTCCATGTTTACAGCTAGGACTACAGTCTAAATTGACAAATACTAGTTATATATAATTATAGCTTGTGCTGTATTGCATAATATAGGTATACAGAGAGGCGATGCTTATGATGATGGTGATCTTGCTGACAGCAGAAGTTGAGTAACACAGAAACAATGAAAGATCTCCTACAGGTCTAGCATTCCGGCAATCTGTGATTGCACAATTTAACTAGGTAATTTGTTTGGTAATAAAGAATATCAAAACAAAACTTGTTTCATTTTAATCATTTATTTTCTGATTCTTTTTTTAAGTGTAATACATATTTCTAATACTAATTTATATTTTTGTTGAAGAAATTCTATTTCTAACAGATTTTTTAATTTCATATGTTCCACTCCTATCTCAAATTTTTTAGGGTAGTCAGGTAATAAATGGTAGAAGATTCAGGGAAACGAAAATAACAGATGTGAAGCGAGAGACATCGGTTAGGTTATATGTAGTTTGAATTTCGTTGTCACTATAATATGCCAGGGCTGCCAGGTGACATACAAAATCACACCAGTTATTTTTAAGATTTCTCAAAAATGGGGTTTGAACAATTACATAAATAATATAAATAAACAACAATAAATACCATAATAATGTGTAATTATTTTATTTCATGCATTTCATAGGTATTTATCAAGATCACTTATAATTTCTTTCAATTCAAATTCTATTTTTCCCAAAGTCTATGGAACTCCGATACAAAATGGCAACACCGTTCATTAAAAACCGACAAAAATAAAAAGTCCAGTAAAAGATATGATGGTAAAGCAAATTTTGGGCCATCATTTTTGTTAGGCTTATAGTCAAAGTTTTTGGTAAGTCGTCGATTTCGTGGACTTGAGATTAAGCTAAGCCAACACTAGGGAGAGATTCGCAGTTTGCTCTATAAATACCGACTGTGTCTTAGCTCGATAGTTAAGTCAGAGCAAAGTCTAAGTGCGCACTATAGATCTCACCCTAAGATAATGTAAATCGGCCCTAAGAGTTAAGAGGAACTAGAGTAGAGGAAAAGTAAAAACCAAGCAAAGTTTCTGTTGTGTTTATCAATGTATATTGTCTAAGTGTTTTCTTTCATAATATAGATGTAAGATTACATATAATTAAATAATTAAAGTTTATCAAATTGTTGTCAATAAATGCATCTATGGTCATGAAAATGCATTTATGGTCATGAAAATACATTTAATGTCATGAAAATGCAGCGAAGGCCATGAAAACACACCTTATATCATGAAATATCATCTATGGTCATGAAAATGCATCTATGGTCATGAAACATATATAGTCATGAAAATGCATCTTTGGTCATGAAAATACATCTATGTCATGAAAATGCATCGAAGGTCATGAAAAGACATCATAATAATAAGAGCGACGGTTCACAATGCTTTGAATGTTTAAATGCTTTCGATATATGTGATAGTTTCCAAATTTGTACTTAACCATAGGTTACACTTCACATTGTAGTAAGAATCAGGGTCGCTATATCGCTAAATGATCACATATATCAGAAACGTATCTGACATATGGAAGTGCATAGCGCTAAGTATCAACTTTAAGGGTGATATTCAGAAAGGAGACTTAGAGCTAAGTAAGGGTCTTCAATCCAATGCGATTTTGACATATAATCTAGTTTCTATATTCATATTATAATCTTTCCCTAAGTGCTGAGTGAGAATTAGAGGGTTACAAAATGTGAATTCAGCTCCATTAACCGATAATCATGTCTAGTTTGAATTTTTAGTAATCATTTCTAGTAGTTAATGTTGTTTTTAAGTTTTTTAATATTATTGTAATGTCGAAATTTTGGTGGACGGAGAAATTGTCGCCGTCATATAAATTTCTGTATATTTTTTTAGATAAATGTATAACCAGAGGTGTTAAAGGCAGAGCCACTAGCTTTACAAATGTTTTTGATTAAAATAAAAAAATTCAGCCTTCAGCTATTAATCGCCGAGTACTGAATCACGTGCTTGGTTCCATCGAAACACGTGAATTTCAAGGAAATGACGCGCGTAATATTTTAAGTCCTTGTAATTTATTACACTAAGCGAAAAAAAATTTTGTTGAAAGAAAACATTTTTTTAACGGATTAAAGCTACCTATAATTTTAGTGTTTACACAGAACGAGAGAACGGCGGGACTGATGTTCATGGTTTTTAATTGTTGTATTTGCAGAATAACTATTCAAAACAATTGCATCGAAAAAATTAAAAAAAAGAAGAATACAAAATCCAATAAAAATATTCATGGGTTTCGTAATTGTCAAACATGTATTGTTAATCCCGTCTCTACGGTAAATTATCTTCTCAAGTTAAAGAAAGTATTCAAATAAAGAAATGAAAAAGGATTTACATTTATATTGGCCGTCAAATATTTATGCGTGCGTCCAGACGCTTTTGTGTTAATTTCTTAATAAACTAGTGAACTTAAAAATTTGTATTAATGGTATTACTCTCATAAAATCATAAATTAAGTTCAGCTAATCTGTAACACGACATTCATTGTCTTAGGCGGTACCAAGTTCGCCAGGTCAGCTAGTATAAAAATCGGTTCTACAGATAAAATCGATTTGTAGTGTTTTGATCGTATTAATAAATATATTTATTTTGAAATGCATAGTACAAGTCTATATGATTATAAGATTTAGATACTTAACACTAAATTACGAATTAGCAGCCCGTGTGGACTCATTTTCCATATTTATATATCCGCCAGCTTATAGCTTACAAATAAAGTGATCAATGAAACAGACTCAACCTCTAAACAAAAAGTGTATGCTCAATTTGGATACTTTTGACGTAAATACGATGCTATTAACTTACTGGCAAACGTTGAAAATCACCCAACTCAGGTCCAGTGTCGAGAATTTGTTTAGTCTTTGGAATCATTGCCGGTGGTACAACATTCTCATGGAGATTTGATGCCATTACTTTATTTAACAATGTACCTTAAATACAAAATAAAACAAATTATATATAACATTACACCCTCAACCCAGCACAGTTAATACAAAGATTTCATCAATATTAAAATAAAAAAAATAAACAATCTATTGTAAAGATTTAAAATTAAATTAAATTATTTCAATTTTATATTACCTTTCTCGGGCTGAGTCCTTTTATAAAAAAGGCTTGAATATGAAAAGTTATTCCTAATTTTCATTTCACTGGGTGGTTCTCTTCCTCTCAGCAAAATTGCATCAAGTTCTGTATAATATGGTAGTAGCTTGTGGTTGAATTCCAAACGAAGTATTCTTTAAAAAAAACAATAAAATTAAAAATCCTTAAAAATATTACATAAAACAAAACATATTTTTTTAAATATACCTTGTAGGATAGTTTATTTCTCTTATTGGAGGACTAAATATCCTTGGTGTATCACCAGCATACTCTGGTTCACCTTCCCATAATAAAATCCAGGACACTGGACCCAAAGCCCAAATTCTTACTAAGGCTCCCGGGTTATAAGTCTCAAAAACAGCAACCTCTAGTGGATAAACCGCTCTTTCAAAGGATACTTCTGTCAGAAACAAAAATAATCAAATTTTTTTTTAACAACTATCCTCAGGATTAAGAACAAACTTAGAACAACAAACTACAGAAACAACATAGTATACGTAAAATATATGTATATTACCTACCTACATAATCCTGGCTTGAAATAGTATTTTTATTTTGTGGCATAAAGTCCTCTTGCACTGATGGTGCCTCATCCCACCATGTACCATATGTCCTCTAAAAATTATATATTTTAAAGATTTTTTATAGACAACAAAAATATAAAACATTGTGTATTATTTTACTTACCATAACAAATGCTTGTGGATAATCTCCATAGTCGGGAAAATTTGAAGGTGGACCACGAAGATTAAATGCAGTATATGAAACACTGATTTCACTTCCGTATTGCGAGCTAAAATCTTCAACATTTTGTACAAATTGCTCTATTATTTGAGCATCATTTTCATCGTCTGTATAATTATTTTCTTTAAACCATAACAAAGACGATAGAATGTCTGAAGCACTTTGCATGTTGCCGAAATTTAAATCAGCCAGAAAAATATTTTACCCAAGAATGCAGTTAAATTAAACTAAAGCCGGCAAAAAAAAATTAAATTAGACAAAAAATCCAACTTTCAACGGAATAAACAGAAAAAATAACAATGAAAAATAATATTTTGTTTGACGAATGATCATCAACGTCTAACGACAGAGTAAAATGTAAATAGTAAATACTACAAACTACAAAGTACAAGTGTCAAGTACAGACTACAGGGCACAGACGTGAGACGAAAGACTGACAGACGGTTCACGGTAGCACTTACTGTTATGACACTAGTGATGGGTAGGACAAACGAAATTGAAGTGTTTGTATGTCCCACCTCATTTTATAAAATGAGTTGGTACATTGTAACACCTCATTTGAGGACCTCATTCTGTACTGTTAGTTCCTTTATGTACGATACGTCATATGTGTGGTTGTGAGGTGTAGTGAAGTGAGGTGACTCATGTTGCCACATGACAAATGAAGTATAGGTCTACCAGAATCTGATGGCAATTTTTTTTTTTTTAAATTAGCGATTTTCATATGGCAATAAAAGAAAAATTTCATCTGTCAACTGAAATTTCGAGGAATTGTTTTTGGTTTGGCTTCAAATTTCCTTTAAAAAGTGATGAAAATGTCGAAGAAACCTCTTCGATCGCAAGCAAGACATATTGTTTTCAATGTTTATCAAAGAATACTTGATCAACAAGATGCAGAACATACACAATCATCGATATTGAGCCATGTGCAAGCGTTGACTGGTTAGTAGGAATGACACGTCTTGATACTTTGGTTTATGGGATTCTTCGTGTGTATTATATTATGTACTTATACTAAATTTTGGTTTATTTCAGGGGTTTCTTATACCACAAATAAACTTGGATAGTTTTGATTTAGAATTGATCAGAAACAAGATAAATGAGTTTTACATTGTTTCTTTCTCTCAAATAGGGATCGATGAATAGCGAAAATCTTGTGAACATGTAATAAAAATTTAAAATAAGTTCATAGAACAAGATCGGTTAATTGAGATGCAGGAGGAAAGGTTTATTATAAATACTGCGTTGAAGACTTTTTTATGGATGTGCAGTATTTGGAACCATTTTAAAGTTCTTAATTAATTAATAAACTCATGAACAGAGTAATTGGAGTTTTCATCTAAATTTCAAACCCCACATTCGCCACATTTTCAAAAATTATCATTGGATAAATTTTTATATATTTTGCATATATCACACACAGAATCAGCCGCTATAAGGAAAAAAAAAGTATCAAAACGTTTTACTCCAATTTCCCCAGTATTGCTAGCGTCAATTTCTTTTTTCCCTTTTTGCCATCAGATCCTGGTAGACCTATACCTCGACGAGTTTGAAGCGGTACAAAATGTGTGTTTGAGGTGATGGGACAATTTACAACTTTGAGTTTGAGTGTGTCATGTATGAGGTGCGCAACACTATATGACACTCGTGACTCGACATCTAGGCGCGAATGTAGTTACAAGAATGTAGTTTTATACTCAACTGTCGCAAGACATGTCAAAGTTCAAACCCCAATCGTTAATTAAACTACAACGACACGCTTCAAGTTCCCTTGCTCTCTTTTAAACAATTCCATAATACTAATTATTATAACAGAATGAACAACACAAAAATATATACTTATAATGTGGTTAATGAAATGATATACCTAACCTTCAAATTCTGTACACAATCTTCTAGAAAAATTACACAGTGCAGGTGACATAAAAATGTAAGAGATATTTATGTAGCCTGTTTAGTTACAAATACATATTTTAGTAAATAATAAGAAGCGTAAACCAAATGTTAGCAATCATTGCATACTTGAAGCAAAATAAGCCGTTTAGTTTTTCCCAGACTCAGAAATTGTAATATATCATTCTTATTTCCGATAATCGACTATTCTTGTATTGAAGTGTCAATTAGATTTAGAACCCTTAAAATAAGCCAGGTAAGTTGTTTGTTAGCGTCGCATCACTCGCAACCCTAATTTTATATATTTAGTTATAGGCTCATATTTTAAACGATAAATGCTAGTCAACTTCCAGCTTCAAATGAATTGTTACATTTAACATATTATCTCAAATTAAAATTCAAAAATCATTTATTCACGTAGGTAACACAATGTACACTTGTGATTCGTCATTAAAGAAATAAATATTAATGCTTCTAATTTTACATTTACTGCCAGTTCTCAAATCAAGGGCGTAGAACGGAAGAGAAGAACTGGCAATAAACTCTCCGCCACTCTTTTTAATCGCCATGTTTTTTTTTTTTTTTTTTTTTTTTTTTTTTTTTTTTTACACAACGTTTGTAAGGAGCTGCAACCATTACACCATGTTCCACATGACATTTTAAGTAATTAATAATAATAACATAAATAAAAACAAAGACTTGTCCCCTATCAGGAGGAGGCATGGTGAAATAGGAGCACGCACTTACATTCTCGTGGGAACAACACGCAAACACATAGTCGAATTAATAATTAACATCACCGCATACACGAATTCAAGTACGACCAGTCACCACAAGTAGCACCCGTTCACGAGTATGACGCATGGCCAGCCATCGGCCCCCTCGCCATATTTTAGGGAGAGAGACAACCCGACGCATGGACGCCGCCACAAGCAATAACATTTAAGCGAGCATGACGATCCTTGTAATGTGGACTTGGCTACATAAGAAAATAATAATAATACTGAAATAATTGGATACTACATGGATCACGGTTTGTTCCCACTTTACATTAAAACAGTCGTGGATGTTGACGATCGCCCCAGAGTCTGGAAATGCAGCCGAGAGATTCAGTCGTGTTACCTATAATATATACTGGAGCAACTCATATCCAAGCACTAGGATCGTTTAAATATTCATTTATATTATAATAAGCCTTAGCAAGCAGTTTTACTTTAATGTACGATTTAAATTTATTTATTGACAACGCTTGTATCTCACTAGGGATTTTGTTGAAAAAACGTATACAATTGCCTTGGAAAGAATTACTCGTTTTATGCTGCCTTCTCGTTGGTGCGCTAATTTTGTCTTTATTACGAGTACTATAAATATGGAAGCTACTATTCTTTTTAAAGATATCTATATTTTTCCGCACATATAAAATATTCTCATAAATGTATTGACTTGCCAGAGTCAAAATATGTAATTCCTTAAATTTGCTTCGGACCGACTCCCGTGGGGACAACCCACAGATCGCTCTTATAGCCCGCTTTTGCACTACAAATATCGATTTAATGTCAGCTGCATTACCCCACAAAATAACACCATATGACATAATACTATGAAAATAGCTGAAATAAACAAGCTTTGCTGTGTTCTCATCCGTAAGATCGCGTATCTTTTTTACTGCGAACGCTGCGGAACTTAGCCTATTCGAAAGACCTTCTATGTGTCGGCCCCACTGGAGTTTACTATCTAATCTGCTATAACAACCACCACCGAACTTTACTAGTGACTTACTTATCTATTATTAAAATATATGTTTGAGTCACAAGATGTCATTTTCAACTCTATAAAGACGTTTTATAACTAGTCCCATTCTTAATAATAATATTTTGTCTAGTATTAGAGAGTTTTGTAATCTGTATTTTTTTATCTGTGGTTTGGCGTCGCCTACTTGTTATGTTATGGCCTAAAGGTCTAGATACCAGGCCATAAACTCCAAAAAAAAAAAAAAATACTTGTTATGTTATGTCTTGATTTTGACGTTAGGTCTTAGGATCAGGAATTCTGTTATTTTGTACTAGTGCAACGATTAAACCCTAATATCGTTCGAAATAGTAACATTTCCTAGTTATAAAAAATAAAATGTTATATCTGTAAAATATTGAGTAAATCTTTATTTATTCATTATGGCTGCAGGACCTATTGCTGAAAGGAATCAAGGTATCGTACCGAGTTGGAGGTTATGTTATATGTTTTAAGTTAGCATTTCAATGTTTTAGGAAACATTAACATTTGTCATTTACATACATTCTATAATTATTATGTATTGAGTGTTACTTTCAAGTTTAAAATATCCACGTATTGAAAGTATCACTCAAGTTATATTTATGTGTTTATTTTTTCAATTAATATTATGTTATCGTACTATTTGCATGTAAATGCTACAAAACACATTAATCTATAAATATTTCAGATGCTACCATCTATGTGGGTGGCCTTGATGACAGAGTTAGTGAGAGTTTACTGTGGGAGTTGTTTGTACAAGCTGGACCTGTGGGTATGTATATTTTAGTCCATAAATACACTTTGTGGTAATGCCATATTAAAAAAAAGACACATGAGTATTTTTAAATGATGTGATTAAATATATAAAAGTAAGGTAATAATTAATAACTTAAATACTAACAATACTATTGTTCTTTATTTAAAAATAATTCAATATTTTATTTCTTTTTGTTTTTAGTTAATGTTCATATGCCAAAAGATCGAGTAACTCAAACTCACCAAGGTTATGGATTTGTGGAGTTTATGGGTGAAGAAGATGCTGATTATGCAATTAAAGTTAGTATATGTACATATACTAATATTATAAAGAGAGTTGAAGAACTTATTGCTTAATTATATTTTAATCAGAAACTATTGATTTGAAAATCCATATTTCAAGAAAGTCTATGGATTCTTTCATCATTTTTATACTCTTGGATTATTATGTTTATGTTTACCAAATTTTTTTTGACAAAGGCCTTAATTTTAAACACAAAAGTTTTCTTAGGTATGAATAAGAATGTCAGCAGTTTATTTTTAATTATGTGGACACATAGTGAAATGAAAATTTAAAATATTCTTATTGGCTGGTTTTTCTAAATCTTGTACAGTTATCGGCATATAAGTTAGCAAGTGTAACATGCACAAAATATAAATATGCATTTCCTGTAAGGGGCGTCCATAAATTACGTGAGGTGTTTTTTTAAATTTTCTGTAACTCCCTCCCCCCCTGGTGAGATGTCGTGAGATTTTATTCAACCCCCTCTCCCATCCCCCAATCTCACGTGAGATTTTTCAAAATGTGGGTTTCTTAAGTAAACGCGTTGGATTGTTATTGTCAATAAAAAATTGCTTCGTGCTTTTATTTTCGACTAAAACAAAATAAGTGAAATGTTGAGCGTTTAGGTATGGAGTTAGCGGGAAGTTGCAGAGATGGCCTTTAGGGTCAACCGTCTTCGTAGTTTTTTTTTTCAATCAGAAAAAAAATTGCGTGATATTTGCCGAGACCCCCCCTCTCTCCAACGTAAGATTTAATGAGATTTGACTCGACCCCTCCCCCTTAAACACCTCACGTAATTTATGGACGCCCCCTAATTTTACAGGTCCAATAAAAAGTATTTAATAATACCTATTTATAATTTTTATATGCCCGTGAAGTGATAATTTTTATATTTTTTATTATAAATACACAAAACTATTTTTAAAATTAAGACTACTATTTATACCGAGGGCACATTACAAGTAATATATTAAGTTTTTAAGAATTTTAACAGTGTTATAGAATAATTACGAAATTCCAGGTGATGAATATGATAAAACTATATGGAAAGCCGGTGAGGGTGAATAAAGCATCAGCCCATCAAAAGAATCTTGATGTGGGTGCAAATGTGTTCATTGGTAACTTGGATCCTGAAGTTGATGAAAAACTTTTGTATGATACATTCTCTGCTTTTGGAGTAATTCTGCAAACACCAAAGGTGAGTGATACCAGCGATTGAAATGCATAAGCGACTTTGCCACTGTAAATGAAAGTATTGATGCAAAACAGGGTTTTGTAAACATAAATTTGTTGACAGCTAAGCCCCTGGGCTGATATCACAAGATATAATATACAGCTTTAATTTGAACTCTCTGAAGAGAATGCATATTTTCTGACATAATATATTATTGTAATATATGTGTAATATACGTGTTATTCTTAAATGGAAAGCAATGTCCCATTGTATGTCTAACAAGGAAAACCAACCTAAGGAAATTGTAAGAATTTTTAACTGCATTCTGCAGAATTAAAATACAATTTTATTTTAATTTCTAAATGTACAATGTACATGCTTATCTTTAATAACTTCTGAGCAGTCTATCACACTTGCTGTACCTGAAAGCTTGTGAACAACTAAGAATATGATAATGTATAGATCCATGACTCTAACAACAGTCTGTCTAGACGTGCAACCAATCCCATTTTTTTTTAAATTTAAACAAAAAGACCTGACATTTTATTCGAAAGTTCGGTACGTATGATGCCGAGACAGTCGAGTTTATTACGGGATAAGACAATAAAGCGTATACGGCTCCGCATTTATAACGAATTTTGGCAACTTAAAACATTTAAAAAAAAACAGTGGCGCTACAACCTTGGCCTCAGATTTCTGAATCTGTTTCATGATCATTTTTAAATCTAATAGGCAAGTAGGTGATCAGCCTCCAGTGTCCGACACACGCCGTCGACTTTTTTAGATATAAGACATGTCGGTTTCCTCACGAGATTTTCCTTCAGCGTTCGAGCGAATGTTAAATGCGCACATAGAAAGAAAGTCCATTGGTGCACAGCCGGGGATCGATCCTACGACCTCTGGGATGAGAGTGGCACGCTGAAGCCACTAGGCCAACACTGCTCAACTTAATACATACTTTTTATTATTTAATTGTTGTCAATATTGAGAGAGAGTGTAATGCTATGTAGAGTGTGTCATTGTATGGAAGACAAGCTAAACCAACCAAAGCCGAGTAATATGGCGTTTACACTGTATATCTATATTTATTATCAAAATATTTATTATCTTCATGTTAATTCATTTGTTGTTATATATTTCAGGTTATGCGAGATCCAGAAACGGGTAACTCGAAGGCGTTTGCATTTATAAACTTTGCGTCGTTCGAAGCATCAGATGCAGCTATAGAGGCAATGAACAATCAGTATCTCTGCAATCGGCCAATATCAGTCTCATATGCATTTAAGAAAGATGTTAAGGGAGAAAGGCACGGATCAGCGGCTGAAAGGTTATTGGTTTTTTTTTTAAAATTAATGTGTTTATTTTTATAAATAAACAATTTTTTTATTTACATTAATAAACAACTTTTATATTTTTTAATATGTCTTAACATTAATTTCGATTTAATTATAGATTCATATTATACTTTCATAAATAAGAAGATAATATTTATTTTTATTTCAGGTTGCTGGCGGCGCAAAATCCCTTATCACACGCAGACCGACCTCATCAGTTGTTCGCGGACGCACCTCCAACAATCTTGGGGTCAATGATGATGGCGCCACCGCCGCCGCCGACGCCATCCCCAATGCCGCCACCAGGACCCCCAATGAACGCCAGACCCCCACCCCCGTTACCGATGTCTGCTCCCCCACCTCCCCCCACTTCGATGCCCCCGCCAGGCCCACCTCCACCACCAGGTCCGCCACCACCACCGCCTCCGTTCCATCACTTCCCCCCACCACCGTTCGGACCTCCTGGTTTTGGCCCCCCACCGCCACCGGGGGCCAGACCCCCGCCCCCATGGAGACCCCCTCCACCGCAATTCAGACCGCAGTTCCCCCCGCGTGGACCTCCGCCGTTTGGTCATCCGCCCTTTCCACACCATCCCCCGGAACCAAATTATAATTATTAAGTCGTAAAATAAGTAATAAAATATATGTTTTTACTTAATATAAACTTTTTAATGTATACTATGACAACCATTAATATATAAGCGCGCGTGAGGCACCATATAATAAAATTTTCTAGGCCAGGAAAAAGAAACTTCTTAAGGTCTAACTTTGTTTCTTCTGTGCTAATATGTATATAAGTTTTTTTTTTTTTTTTAAGACAATTCACACCAATTGACCTAGTCCCATGCTAAGCTGGTGAAGCTTGTGTTATGGGTACTAGGCAACGGATATACATACATATTATATATAGATAGACATATAAATACATATTTAAACACCCAAGACCTAAGCACAACACCAAAATGCTCATCACATCGATGTTCGTCTCAGCCGGGATCGAACCCGGGACCCATGGATTCGCAGTCAGGGGTACTAACCACTAGACCAATGAGTCGTCTATCTATAGTGATATTGAAATTAGGACAGAAGAAACAAAGAAATGAAATGAAAGGAAATAAGGAAAGAAAAAGCGTAAAGAAAACAATGAATGATAAGATGCAGGGGTAAATCGTAATCGCGCTCACAGTTTGATAGTTAATTTCGCTTTGTCCGCTGCTCGCGTTGCGACTGGCTGCAGGCTCCACCCATCGCACCAGTTTCGTCACACATCATCGTAAAATCACTGACGCGATTGAAAAGAGTAGTGGTATTATTGTTCGCCACAAATTTTTTGCTAATATCTCGTGTTATGGCATTATTGATGTGTTAAAGATTTTCAATGTATAATTTTTTTAACTATCTGTCTTATTTTGACGGTCTAAGTAACACCCTGAACAGCTTGCCAGCCAGCGGACAATGAAATGTGTGTTTAAATTTAAATGTATGTACGGTATATATAGCGTATATATTAACAATCATACAGATCTCTAAGCCCTACACATTTACCCTTACACAAAGTGAATATATAAATAAGTATAGGATTTCTGCACTAATAGACCTAAGGTATTAGGTAACAGACGGACCCCTACGGGTAGGATCAATGATCAAGATCAAGGTGGTGATGTTATCTCAACCGGACAGGCACTCCACGATAGTTAAGGGCTTGGAGGAGTCTTCGCGACTTTGAGAGGAAGCGAGAAATGAATAAGACAGTAATATTCAAATCTCATTGTTATAAAACAATATCTTTAATTGTACTTACACCTTAAACTTAGGGTCCTTCAAGAAAAGAGCGTACCAATTCTTAAAAGGCCGGCAACGCACTCGCGAGCTTTCTGGCATTGAGAGTGCCCATGGGCGGCGGATCACTTATCATCAGATGAGCCTCCTGCCCGTTTGCCCCCCGTTCTATAAACACATACATAATATCTAGCTGTCGGTGTATCGTGCCCCTACAGCTAGTAACATTTAAAATAACCTTATAGAATAAACTGTGTCAGCAGTTGGTCAATGTTCAAAGGAAATCTAAACACACTCCTTAGTAGTAACTACAGTAGCACTGCAGGTCATCTAATATAACAGCACAATTGGTCTGATTTACTGTATTTAAAGTAGTACTATTGTATTTTGTAAAAAGCATAAGCAAGGTAATATAAAAATTCCCTCTCATCTTATTTCCGAGGAACCAAACTATAAAATATTTTAGAAATAAATATGAAAATGAAATTTGCCATGAAGGATTTTGCAGTGGAGCAATAAAATTGCAAACATGTCTTATTTGCGACCGACCGCGGCTACCTACCAACTTGATCGGAAAATTTGAATTGAAATAAATTCGATTATACTTACCATAATATTCTAGATTTTATTTGGGTGCTGTAAGCCCTAAGTGAAGGCAGATAGATATACATCTTATACCAGCTGCCCACTGAAGTATTTCCGAACCAATTCGACTAAGGGTCTTTCGAGAAAATAGCGTACCAATTCTTAAAACACCGGCACTTGCGAGCTTTCTGGCAAAGTGAGTGTCCATAGGCGGGCGCTATCACTTAACATCAGTTGAGCCTTCAGCCCATTTGCCTCCTGTAACATAAAAAAATACATGATAAAAACATGACTTCTTAAGTAGGTGATCACCCATTGCCCGTAAGTGTCCATTGGGTTAGTACAAGTGAGGTGGACTCATAGTCCAAACTTATTTATTTTTTCGTAAAAATACATAAACTATCCTAACCTAGCCGATACGATAACAAATAAAATGTAGACTATTAAATACATAGGGTATACAATATCGCTACTTTGAACTTGCTCTGCGAACATATAAAGATGTCGATCGTATCGGAGATCGGCATTCAGTAGGCGCAACGACTTTGTTACCGGGGCTCTGATCACTTGTTCTATATTGAACCATGAAGCGATTGTTGACCGGGTCTTGATCAGCCTTGTGATTCTGTAACTCACTCTTCAAATTCTCACAGCGGATTCCGCTCTCAAATCACTCATGACGGTGTAATATAAAAATTTTAAGAGTGAGTTACAGAATCGCAAGGCTGGGGCCTGAACGGGTCTTGATATATTACAATATTTTAAATAGGATAGTAAAAAAATAGCTTATATTTGTAGATATTTAAAAAAATTGTCTATATATAAATTTAAACTTTGTTAATAAACTCATTTGAATATAATACAAAAAATAACACGAGGATAAACATAATCCCGTCCGTATCAACCGTCGCAATCGCACACGATAATAGCCGACAGGGTAAAGGATTAAAAACATGGTTAACTCGCAAAATGAAACACAAATATTTTGTTTTTACGCCATCGAAAAGGATTACGACTAACGAGAATGTACAATTGCATTTGTAATATCAATGACGTTCATATGTTGTTAGTTGTAATAAATATAATTATTTTGCATTAATAGATGTATTATACAAAGCCTGAAGACAAATAAGTAGCGGTGAGAAACATTCATTATGGATATCGCTTTATTTTTTTCGATTACGAAAGAAAATTTAAAACTTTTATTAGAAATAAGTACCTACCTACACTTTGTAGACAAGAATATTACAAATTAGAGGATTATATTCAAGATGTTAAGCTTGGAAAAATGTTGGTCCTGTTCCATTGGACAATCAAACTAGACAAAATCTAAAAAAAAATTAATAGGTTTTTTCCATTTTGTGAATGTTTGAACCTTTTTGTAAATATTATGTATTCTGTGTGGCTATATTTTTAGTGTTATTGTTTGTTTTTATATACATTGTTTTTGTTACCTGTAGGATTACGAAATAAATAATATTAATGTAAGTAGTGTGACAGTTTTGTGAAAATACATTGACTTGGTTTCCAGTGTGTATGTCGTTAAAGTAGCAGTAACAAATTGGTAATTTTCCTCTGTGTAACCCTAACCAATCCCAACGTCAGATTTTCCAATTTCGACCCAAAATACAAAAGCATGACATGGAGGCCGTATATTTTAATGGAATTAAATAAGGTTTCCGAAACTAAATCACACGTGTGCTCGACTTACTATTGTTCAGCTTCGCAAGGGCAAGATTCTATAAGACCCTAATTTTCGGGAATCCATTCTTCAGTATTGTAAGGGTCTACTGGGTATAATATATTAATGCCGTAATTACTCCGATGGAGAACGGCTAATGGTGTGGTAATGTGATGTCTTTCATTGTTAGAACTACACGTGATTAATGTTTATATTTATTAGTTCTGGATTAATATTATCATTATCTTATATATAATTAATATTATATGATATGCTTCCAAATATTAGGTCCTTACATATGAAATTGGCGTATTTCGTACTGGCCACTTTAATCACGATGTTCTTTTTGGTAAGGAATTCCAAATTCAAATTTGTACAGCTATTTACTCATGTATTTGTGCTTCGATGACCGTCATTCATTTGTTTTTTTCTGTTTGCGTCACTCATTTTACAAAATGGAAAACTTAAAGTATCGCATTATTTACGAGTACGAGTTCCGCCGTGGCACTAGTGCTGCGGAAACGACTCGAAGGGTGCATGATTTGTATGGCGGTCATGTTGCAAAAGAAAACACAGTTCGTTTTTGGTTATAACGTTTTCGTTCTGGAAATTTCGACCTGAAGAACAAGCGCCGTGGACGGCCTGAGACCCAAGTTGATAATGAAGTATTGAAGGCTATTGTGGAAGCGGATCCATCGCAAACCACGTCCGAGTTAGCTGCAGGCTGCGGTGTTAGTGATAAAACTTTTAATTCACTTGAAGCAAATTGGGAAGATTAAAAAGCTTGAAAGATGGGTACCTCACGAATTGACTGAAGCAAACCGGCAAACGCGCGTCGACTGCTGCGTTACATTACTGAACCGGCACAATAATGAAGGTATTTTAAACCGAATCATTACCTGTGATGAAAAATTGATTCTTTACGATAATCGGAAGCGCTCAGCACAATGGTTGGATCCTGGCCAGCCAGCCAAATCCTGCCCCAAGCGAAAATTAACCCCAAAAAAGTTACTTGTAAGCGTTTGGTGGACTAGTGCCGGTATTGTTCATTGCAGTTTTCTCAAATCTAGCCAGACTATTACGGCTGATGTCTATTGTCAGCAATTGCAAACCATGATGGAAAAGCTAGGGGCTAAACAACATCGGCTGGTCAATCGCTCCACGCCACTGCTACTTCACGACAACGCTAGACCACACACTGCACAACAGACGGCTACCAAATTAGAAGAGCTTCAATTGGAATGTCTAAGACATCCTCCGTACTGCCCGGACCTTGCTCCAACAGATTACCATTTTTTTCGAAATTTGGACAACTTCTTGCAAGGGAAAAAATTTAACTCTGATGGGGCAGTCCAAATCGCCTTCACAGATTTTATTGATTCCCGTCCGACTGTTTTTTTTAGTAAAGGGATCAATGAACTACCTATGAGATGGCAAAAGTGCATAGAAAACAATGGTTCATACTTTGATTAATTAAATATATTATATTTAAAAATATTCGACTTTTTGTTCCTCCCATACAAAACGCCAATTTCATATGTAAGGACCTAATATTAATGCTTAACGCTTGTACCA